AAAAAAAAAAAAAAGAGATTATCCTCACCCGGAAGAAGAAGGAGAGGCGGAGAAGAACAGCACGCCGCCTTCTTCATCCTCCACGAGCTGAGGTTTCTCTGTTCCAGGTTTCCAAAATCTCGACATTTTTTTTTTCTTCAGTCGAATCAATAGCTTACACCGTTTGTATATTATTGACGGACGTTAGACTTTGTTGGCTTGTCCATTTTTTTGATTGATGAATGATAATTATAATTTTTAAGTTGAGATTATTCTTTTTATCTTTCATTTATTATTAAATTTTCAAATCTTGATCACTCAGAAAATTTAGATTTCTACCATGACATTGCAAATTCATAAATAATAAAAATAACAGTAATATTTTTTAAGATAATTAATAGGTCATGATCCTTCAAATTTATAAGAACTACGTTATTCATTTTATATTATGCAATCGATATAGTGCTGAAGTTGATTTTATAATTTTCATTTTACTAATGACAACATTTTACATGTGATACTATTATATAATTTTAATATTATATACATATATATACTTTATAATAATTCAAATATTTATACATGAGCACATGATTGGATACAAAAATATTATAATTTTAATATTATATACATACATATACTTTATAATAATTTAACGCCCTTGGTTTCAGCTACTGTGATCTTTTCCGTTGCTATTGATGTTGGAGGCATAAGCGCTACTTCACCACCCGCGACTAATAATCGAAAGGGTTCACCGTCAATTCAATCTATAAGATGGAACGTTTACGCCGGAGGGGTATGTATGCCCTCGTTTTGACCACCGGTGGGTGCGCTTTGTATTTGAAGTTATTGGCCCATGGTCCTCAGCGCGGGAAGGACCTAGAACTGAGAAGATTTTAAATATTTGTGTATGAGCACATGATTGAAAACAAGTTGTTATAAGGGTGGAGGAAATAAGTGTGAATGCATTTAATACAGGAAGGTAAAATAAAGTTCAGCATCATATACTATACAAGCAACTCGTGAGATGAGGACTGTATTTTTTTCACAATATATTATAAATTGAAGTGTGTTAATAAATTAAAGAGTGAAATATTATAAATTGATGTGTATTAATAAATAAAAGAGTGATAACACGTACGGAAAGTGTCAAATCATAAAAATATTCCTCATCGAAAAATAATTTATTATTAAACACCTCATTGTATACAACATTATTAATTTGATTACTAAGCAACTCTTTGTCCTGCAAACTAATATTTTCAACTTATTTCTATTACTTACATTCGAAACAACATGTAATTGACCGTGACTAAAAATCAAACTCTTCTTATTGTCATGCATACTAAACCATGAGTAGGAACTGGCGCAACTTAAATGAAAACCTAGGGCCGAATGGATTTATTTATCATACAATAATTTACATGGCAGTTCAACAAATGAACTGTTAGTTTATCATATTAATATTCATAATACTTGATTAGCAAAATAATATTTACTAATATTTTTATACGTTTTTATATTATATAAAATAGCATTAAATATGTACGTTTAAAATATTAAAATTACATAAAATATTATATAACATATGTAAGATTATCTAAAATATGATATAATGTTCTTAAAAAATGTCAGCTCGCCTAAAGTTTTTTTAATTTATTTTGTAAGTAAAACATATTTGAAAGACTTAAGTTTAACACACATACCTATATATATATATATATATATGTAGGATGTGTAAAATAATTCTTCAAATAACATGTTTAAAAATATATAAAATATTACATGTGAATAATATGTATTATTAGTAATTATATGCATGAATAATATGTATTACCGACAAAATATGCATGAATAATATGTACTAGTACAACGATCGTGAACTACACGGGTGTTTCATAAAAAAACTAACTGTCCAACAAAAATTAATAAAGAATTGAAACTCTTATTGTGAATAAAAAATTATAAATAATTATTAATAAAAATATTCTTTTAATATTATTTTGAATTCCAAATAATAATTTTATGAAGTATTATTTTTTCAATTTCATATATATTCATATTTATCGAAATTAAATATAGTAATTAGTTTATTCGGCAGTTAATATAACATTCGTGAACAACACAGGTGCTTAAAAATTATTATTTTATAAAAATAAAGAAGTGAAGAAATTAATATTTAGAGTGCTAAAAATATAAATATATAATCAATAACTAAAAAATAATAAAGTTCATTATTTAAAATAATAATCATTATTATGCTCGACTTATCAAAATGATAATTCTTTTTTAACCCCCCAACCCCTCCCACACACACACACACAAAAGAGGAATAGACATTGCAGAAAGTGATTTGTAAATCGCAGTTTATGAGAGAAATTTGAGAGAAATTTATAAGATGGTAAGATTGTTACTTGCCCAAATTAAGAAAGAAATTTGAACTAAGAGAAAACAACAAAACTAAATGTACAATTACCAAGTTTGAAAAAAATTATTTATGTCTATACCAAACCTAATTCTAAAGCAAAAAAAATTACTTACAAACAACATTCCGAATCATAAATTTTTGTCATGTCATCATCCAAAGTGCGTGAGTCTGTCACTTGGGCTCAAAACGTTTTGAATTAATATATAGGGAGGGATATGCCTATCTAAATCGTTTGATTCTTATAAATATGATAAAAATAAAAAAGAATAATCTATAGATGAGAATTTTAAAATCGGCTCCCTGTAAATTTACATATTACTATATATATATATATATATATAAATATATTGTATATCTGCTAATCCAAATCAATGATTCTAATTAATCTGCTAAAAAAAATCCTCCATGAATGATAATATCAATATCAGTTGCCTAATTATTTACATAATATTTTCCTACAAAGTAACTATCAACATAAATAACAACAAGTGAGAATTGACTAAAACAAACATATATTGAAAGTAAGTTATATGGAAAATATGCATTTATGATTTATTTTTATTTGAATTTACATTGCATGTTAATTGCTAGATTTAAGGCTTCGATCCGTAATTGTCGTTGTTTTTATTTTATTCGTAGCAACTAACAGTCCTGCATTGTTAGGGATAACACAACATAAGTTACATGAACCGAGCTTGTGTGTTTGTGGCTTAGATCGATCTATTTCCTTAGATTCTAATGCAACTAGTGGATTACATTAGGAGAGCTTATTCTGAGTTATTCGCTAGTTAGAATTAATTGAAGAGCCTATTTCGATTAACTAAAATTAAGGGAAAATTTGTGTAGCGGAGATTATTGCTATCTAGAACCGGTAGTTTTAGAAGACGAGTGAGACTTGGTAAATGCATAAACTGGGCTAGTTATTCGAGGGTGTAGACCGACCTGGGATCGATTTCACCCTCATTTTCACTTTAATTATTTATTTTTTATTTCATCATCTTTTGCATCTAAATCATCCATCTCTAGATTTAGTTTAATTTTTCGTTTTGCTAGTAGTTTCGTTCTAAATCAAAATCCCCTCCCCCCCCCCTTTTTTTATTTTAATCTAACTAATATAATAAAATCACGGTTTATACCACACTTCCTATAAGATCGACCCTTGCTCGCCACTACTACTAGTTATAGGGATAAGTCGAAGAAAGTTTTATAAATATAAACTTGCCGCGAAACGACACGCGGTCACCAATCATTGGTGACAAATAAAAATTTACCTTAAAATTATGTGAAAGCACAAATAAATCTATACTTATATAATAAGGTATCCTATTTACCAAATTAAGTAGGAAGAAAAGTCAACGTAATTAATGCGTTGCTATTTCTATCAAGAATTTTATTTAATTATTTAATTTATTTGTCTTTTATCCCATAAAATCGGTTTAAGAAAAAAAATCTCATAACATGCGATAAGTAAAAAAAAAAAATAGGTAAAATCTTTATTAAAATAAAAAAGGCTTTATTTATTTGTTTTATTCCATAATAACATCGATTTAGTAAAAAAAAATCCCATAAAATCGGTGAAGTCAAAAATTCTACGTAAAGTCTATCTATACTAAAAAATAGGCAAATTCAAAATTACTTATCAATTCCTTCTTAGCTATACTTATATAAAGAGTCATCCTATTTATTAAATTAGTAGCAAAAAAATATGTCAGCATAAAATGTATCTCATAAATAGTAGTTTTATTATTTTTCTTATTTTTTTCTTTAAAAATCATACAATTTAATTTATAAATACGCTCTAATATAATCATACAATTTAATTAAAATAATAATTAAATATTGAATGATAAATAAGAATAAGTAAAACTATTACTTTCTCTTATATCAAGAGATAAATTTATATGCTAAAATTAAGTTTTTTAATGTTTTAGTGAGATAATATATTAATTATTTTACAAGCTAGCCCTAACGTGCTCATATTTAAATAGTAGTTTATTATTTTTCTTATTTTCTTTTCTTTAAAAATCATACAATTTAATTTATAAATACGCTCTAATATAATCATACAATTTAATTAAAATAATAATTAAATATTGAATGATGAATAAGAATAAGTAAAACTACTACTTTCTCTTATATCAAGAGATAAATTTATATGCTAATTTAAGTTTTTATTAGTATAAATGTTTTAGTGAGATAATATATTAATTATTTTACAAGCTAGCTCTAACGTGTTCATATTTAATGTTCTGGCTAAAAAGACAATGCTGGTTAAAAGATTTGGAAAAAAACTTATAACCCAATTATTTTTTAGACTTAACGTTGATTAAAAGAGGTAGAAAATAGATAAGTCCTATTACTTTTTAGACTTAAACGAACAAGACTGTGAGAATAACTCATTTAATATCTCTGTCAGATGTGGAAAAAAGTTTATAACCTATTGTTTTTTAGAGCTAACGTTGATAAAATATGTAGAAAATAGATAATAACCATATTACTTTTTAGACTTAAACGAACAAGGCTGTGAAAATAAAAGTTTATAACCCTATTATTTTTAGACTTAACGTTGATAAAATATGTAAAAATAGATAATAACCTTATTACTTTTTAGACTTAAACGGACAAGGCTGTGAAAATAATTCATTTAATATCTATGTCTCGTGCATCGCACGAGTACGTACTAGTTGAAAGAAAAAGTAGATATAACATCTATATATAT